TCACACAAGAGATGAGATGGGCCTGAATCTGACACACAAGTGTGATTCTCAATGGCTACCCCCACCCAGTCACACAACTCCTTCCCGTTAGAGACTCACAAAAGGCTACGTCTGAACAATTCTCTGAAGTCCTTAAGATCTACCTGGGCTGCTGGGGTGGGGTGGGGGAGGGTCTCAGGATTAAAACTGTGACAGATGAGGAAATTTCAGGGGAGTTTAAACTGAACACAGTTCTGACAGGGCTTTAATTTTGTGACCTGTCTGGGCCTTTGGGATGAGACAGACCATAGTTTCGAAACAAGTACATAAATAAACCTCGATCTGAAACAAATGGCCAAGTGTGCAGTGTATATTCTGCGCACTACAGATCAGTATTGAAATGGGAACGGTGGGGGGGGGTGGCATGAGGGGGTTTCCCAGCATGCTGTGTGTGCTTCACTTCTCAAGGGGAGGGTTGACAAAGCAGTTAAAACAAAGCCGTGTCATCAAGCGATATAGAACCTTTCTCCACTTACGCATTAGCAGTGTGCCAAAGCCTGCTGTGAGCCTGTTGCATGTTTTGTTTTTAAAACCTGGGTTTTTACTTGTGCAAACGCTGCTCCCAGACTTAACTATGCACTTGCGGTTGCCTGCGAACACTATTCATGTGGGTTTGCTAGTGGCAGCAGATTGGATAGGAGCTTTAATACCAGTTGCCAAGCTTCATGTCCACAAGGAGAGGTATCACAGCACGAACTGCACTCACCCTCAGCAGCAACTCTCGTGTCCACAGCGTATATAAGAACATAAGGAGAGCCCTGCTGGATCAGACCGATGGTCCATCTAGTCCAGCCTCCTATCTCACACAGTTGCCAACCAGCTCCTCTGGAAGGCCAAGAACAGGGCATAGAGGCCGAGGCCTTCTCCTGATGTCACTTCTGGCTCTGGGATTCAGAGGCTTAGTTCCTCTGAATGTGGAGGTTCTTCTCAGTCACCATGGCTAGTAGCCACTGATAGACTTATCCTCCATGAATCTAATGAATCTCCTTATAAAGCTGTTTATTCCTGTGGCCATCAGGACATCCTCCGGCAGCAAATGCCACATTTTAATCACTCACTGTGTAAAGTAGTGTAGTTCATCCAGGATGCATAATTAGGGTTGCTGGTTGTGCCCTGGGAAATTCCTGGAGATCTGAGGGCCTGTGAAGAAGGGAATCCAGAGAGGGATTTCACCTGGGATCTGTGGTTTATCACCGAGCTTGCCCTCCAAAGTTGCCATTTGCTCCAGGAGAACTGATCCCTGTCACCTGGAAACCAGTTGTAATTCTGTGGCAAAATCCATGCCCCACCGAGAATCATAGAATCATAAAGTTGGAAGGGACTTCCAGGGTCATCTAGTCCAAACCCCTGCACAATGCAGGAAATTCACAAATACCTCCCCCTCACACCCGCAATGACCCCTGCTCCATGCCCAGAAGATGACAAAAAAACCTCCAGGATCCCTGGTCAAGCTAGCCTGCAGAAACCCCAAAGTGACCCCAAAGTGGCAATCAGCATTTTCCTGGGGGTGTAAGAAAGGGCCACAAGAACTAAGCACCGAGGCAACCCTTCCTGCCCTCCCTCTCATGATCTGCCTCAGTTCACAGAATCAGCATTGCTGTCAGATGGCCATCTGGCCTCTGTTTGAAAACCTCCAAAGACGGAGAGCCCACCACCTCCAGAGGAAGCCTGTTCCACTGAGGAACTGCTCAAACTGTCAGGGAGTTCTTCCTAATGTTTAGCCAAAAACTCTTCTGATTTAATTTCAACCTGATGGTTCTGGTCCGACCTGGGGCAGCAGCAAACAACTCTGCACCATCCTCTATATGACAGCCTTTCAAGTATTTGAAGATGGTTATCATATCACATCTCAGTTATTCCTCTCCAGGCTAAACATACCCAGCTCCTTCAACCTTTCCTGATAGGACTTGGTCTCCAGACCCTTCACCATCTTTGTTGCCCTCCTCTGGACATGTTCCAGCTTTTCTATTCCTTCTTAAATTCTGGTTCCCAAAACTGAACACAATACTCTAGGTGAGGTCTGAAACCTGAAGATTGGCAGTCCTAAGCTTAATGTTCCACAAATGGAAATGCCCCTGGGTGACTGTAGCAGCTACCAGCCCCTATAGCTGCAACAGGCACCAGTACAGAATCATCTGCATCCCAGCTCTCAGAGCTGCCACCTGCCTCCTCAGGCGGGCTCTGCTGGAGAAAAGGTAGCAGGTGGGCAAGCCAGTCCCAGTCTGCATCCTCTTTACACTTTTGAATCTCATTTGCCATCTTAGTGCCCATTCATCCAATGAGGGGGAGTTCTTCTTGGAGGTTTCCCCATCCCAAACAATTTACACAGGCCAGTTTGGCATGGTGGTTAAGTGTGCGGACTCTAATCTGGGAGAACCTGGATGACCTTGGGCAAGCCATAGTTCTGTCAGAGCTGTTCTCTCAAGGGCAGTTTTGGAAAGAGCTCCCTCAGCCCCACCTACCTCACAGGGTGTTTGTCGAGGGGAGGGGAGGGGATTTGTAAGCCACTCTGAGACTCCGAGTGAAGGACGGGTATAAATCCAATCTCCTCCTCCTCTTCTTGTTCCTCAGTGCTCTTTTAAATCAAGGGTTTTTGTTTTTTTTAAACAGTATTTTAGCATGGAAACTGTTGTTTTAGACTGTCCATGGTTTGTTTCATGGCCTATGTTTTTATGCTGGCCTGCGGCTTTTTTAATGCTGGATTTTCCTCAACAGCTTTGAATGTTTTTTTTAAAAAAAATAATTTATGATCATTTTCTTATTTTTATCTTGTAAGCCCCCTTGAACAGGTTCCTGGAGAGGTGGCATTAGAAATGTTCTAAATAAATAAACACTCCCTGCAGTGGTTGCCAACAGGCCTGGAGAAAAACACCTTGCCTCTCTAATAGAGGTGTTTATGTGTGGAAGCAGGCAGCTGAAGCTGTTCACAGCACGGGGGGCAAATAACATCACCTGGTAAATAATATGCCATTAAACCTCTCTTACAGGGATAAGGGCCCTTCTTGTCGGGCCAGGTAGCAAACCTACCCGACAGGCTGTGGATCTAGGGTTCCCAAGTACCTACCTACGATCCGGCGGGGGACACATGCCTCCCCGCCGGTAGATTCTTGCTTGTAACATAAGTGCTGCACTATTCCGTTGCCCAGATGTGATATAAGCACGTAGCTGGGCGATGCTCTGGTAATGGGACTGGAAACTCAATGGTACCATCGAGTTTCCAGCCCCATTGCTAGAGCGTCGCCCGGCTACATGCCTACGTCATGTCTGGGCGACGGAATAGTGCAGCGCCTGCGTTTTTCCCGCAGGAATGGTCCCACGAAGAACTATACATCCCCCACCGAATTAAGATCCCTGTGTGGATCACTTATTTGTCAGCCTCCAGGTGGGGCCTGGAGATCTCCTGCTATTACAACTGATCTCCAGAGAATAGCGATCAGTTGCCCTGGAGAAAGTGACTGCTTGGGAGGGTGGGTTCTGTGGCACTGTACCCTCCTGAGGTCCCTCCCCTCCCCAAGTCCGGCCCTCCACAGGCTCCACCTCCAAAATCTCCGGAGCTGGCAACCCTACCTGGGAACAAGGTAAACACTGCCAATACCAGTGTGGGACCTTTATATTAAGCATTTATCTCACAGAAGTTCAGATTCAAATAGTTTCTCACATCAAGGTTATTTTAAACTTCCAAAACTTCACTTGGCTGCCAGCTGTTGCAGGAACGCCACATGATCCAATTCAGTAAGCAAGGCGTTGGTATTTTTTGTATGGAACTGACATGTATAGATTTAAATAAAATTTAAATTAAAAAAAATATTAAGCCTTTATTCGACCATTTGTCCTCCTGTGCTCTTTTGCTCAGTGATAAGGATCTGAAGATCACTCCAGCGATTGCAAAATTTGTCCCAGTCCTTTTTAGCCCTTGCATCTAAGAAATAAGTGTTTTATGCTGCTCAGGATTCGTGAATCAATGAGCTTCTAAGGGGACAAAAGAAAAGGAAAGTGTAGAGCCTCTGGGACCCCCCCCTTCCCATTAGTGTGAAAATGATCATTTTGTTCCTGCCTTCTGCATAAAGTTCTTAACGGCCACCAGCCTATAACAGTTGCTGCCCTCTTAGCTTTTGACTGTTCAATCTGAGTTCGATGGAACTCACTCCCCATTAGGTGTAATTGGAATTGCAACTATGGTGGCAACTCGTGTTTGTTCTGCCAAGAGCTTGTGCTGTCTTCTGTTTCCCACATCTGAGCAAGACTTCTGCTTTTCAAGGGTCCCGGTCACACGGGCAGGAAAATGCTGGGGGGAAACGTGGCAGTTAGCCCCAGGGCTAAAAACCGCGGGGTTGCTCGAGCAGACCTATCGATCGAGGTCCCGAGGAGGTCCCGTGGTAGGGGGGAGGTGCCGATCACTCCACAGTCTTGCGGCGCGCAAAGAAGCGGGGCGCGGGGCAAATGGGGTTGCTTGTTTTTTTTAAAACTCAAATGTGCGCATGCTCCCTTGGGTGCTTGTGCGCATCCGTGGAGACTTTGAAAAAAAACCCTTTTCCGAGGGGACATGGGCGGGCGCCGGAACTACCACCGGAAACACGATCAGACGCCCGCCCTTGCCCCGCGGTTTCAGGAAACTAGTACCTCCGAGGTACTAGTTTTTTACCGCACATCTTCTGCAGGAAGCCACGGGATAGCCATGGGAGCTCTACGCTTCCCAGATGTGGCAGTGAGATCGCACCCGGAAAATCCGCCTATCTTCCGTCCCTCTAGCGTGCCTAATGCTCCGTGTGACCGCAGGCCAAGGTTTGCCTTTTAGGACTCCTCAGCTCAGCTCCAGTCCCTAAATCTTCCCAACTAATCTCCATCAACTTTCCTAACTGCAATCCTAAGAACATTTTCCTGGGAATAAGTCCCGCTGAAGAAATGGGACTTTCTTGTGAGTAGACCTGCTTAGGATTGTTCTTCTTGCCTTCTCTTTTTAGGTGGATGACAGCCCATTGTCGGAGCATAGTGTCACTCAGGTAAGCCTCCTCAAACCATCGAGTTTTTCTTACACACAGGTAGATACTCTTCTCTCTTGGCTGATGGTTTTCCCACAGGTTTGGAATTTGCAGATTAATTAAATGTGTGTTGGTCTCAGCCTTGAGGAGTGCACATAAAGTTAATCATGCTTTTGTGCAGATATATACCCCCAACACACACACACAAGGAGAATATGTTTGCCCTGGCAAACGTAAGAACATAAGAAGAGCCCTGCTGGATCAGACCAGTGGTCCATCTAGTCCAGCATCCTGTCTCACACAGTGGCCAGCCAGTTCCCCTGGAGGGCCAACAATGGGGTATAGAGACTGAGGCCTTCCCCTGAAAAGAATTTAAGCCCTGCTGAGTCAGACTAGTGGCCTATCTAGTCCAGCCTCCTGTCTCACTCAGTGGCCAACCAGTTCCCCTGGAGGGTCAACAATAGGGCATAGAGACTGAGGCCTTCCCCTGATAAGAATGTAAGAAGAGCCCTGCTGAGTCAGACCAGTGGCCTATCTAATCCAGCATCCTGTCTCAGTGACCAACCAGTTTCTTTGGAGGCCCAGCAACAAGGCATAGAAGCCAAAGCCTTCCCTTGATGTTGCCTCCTGGCATTGGGATTCAGAGGTTGACTGCCTGTGTACATGGGGGTTCCCTTTAGTCACCAGGGCTAGTTGTTGTTGTTGTTGCACAGTCGAGTCCAACTCTTCGCGATCCCATGGACCACTCCACGCCAGGCCCTCCTGTCTTATTATTCTTTGCAGCATCGGACTTTCCTTTCACCATCAGACACATCCACAGCTGAGCGTCCTTTCGGCTTTGGCCCAGCCACTTCACTCTTTCTGGGGTTACTCGTAGTCGCGCTTTGCTCTTCCCCAGTAGCATATTGGACACCTTCCGACCTGAGGGGCTCATCTTCCAGCGTCATATCTTTTAGCCTTTTGCTACTGTCCATGGGGTTTTCTTGGCAAAGATACTGGAGTGGGTTGCCATTTCCTTTTCCAGTGGATCGCGTTTTGTCTGAGTTCTCCGCTGTGGCCTGTCAGTCCTGGGTGGCCCTCCACGGCCTCATTGAACCACGCAAGCCCCCTCGCCGCGTCAAGGCAGTGATCCGTGAGGGAGACCAAGGCTAGTAGCCACTAATAAACCCATCCTCCGTGAATTCATCTAATCCCCTTTTAAAGCTGTCTATGCCTGTGGCATATGAAACCCCGTGATGGGGGAGGAACCACTCAGCAGGTTAGAGCAGAGAATGGGCAGCATGGAAAGGGTCAGTTGCCGCCTCCTGTACTCTTTGAAAGAATACCTCATCCCAAGTTGTAAGAATGTGTTTGGACACACTGCATAGTTAGCACCAGATACCATGACAGTATGTGTGGTGAGTGTCTGCCTAGGCGCATACAAATAACATAAACTGCACTCGTTGGATGTAGGCATGAAGCTAAGAGCCACACCATTCTCTCTTCCCACAATCTGGAAAGGAGAAGGCTGTAGCCCAAGACTGCTTGTCAGCCCAGAAACTTAAATCGTGCTAGGATATAGAATTTCCAGGGCCCCCCTGGCCACTGGCAGGGGGGGTTGGAGGCCTGTAGAGTTGCCAGCTCCAGGTTAGGAAATTCCTGGAGATTTGGGGATGGAGCCTGGGAGGACAGGGACCCCAGTAGGGTACAATGCCATACATTCTGCCCTCCAAAGCATCCATTTTCTCCAGGGGAACCAATCCCTGTCACCTGGAGATGAGCTGTAATCCTGGGGGATCCCCAGGTCACACCTGGAGGCTGGCAACCCTAGTTAGGAATCGTGGGAGAGACACCTGCACACCCTCAGGTTATTGTCCCTCCACTCACTACCAATGCTGCCTCTAAGCTGTGGAGTCTTGTGAGCAAAAATTCTACTTTGTGGCCTACTGGCATTAAAGTCGTGAGCGAGCAATTTGGCTACTGCATAAATTAGTTTGCTCTGGAGCCCTCCTTCCTGAGACAAAAATGGGTGAGCTGGAGGCTAAAAAACTGTGAGCTAGCTCACACTAACTCAGCTTAGAGGGAACACTGCTCACTACCTGTCTTCCAGCATGCTCTCTTCTCCAAATTCACCCCGATGGCATAAACCAAGAACATAAAAGGGTCGGGGGTAGGTTCTTGCAGGTTTTCTAAACACTGTATGAACTGCCTCTTCTTGTGTAGTCCCTAATAACAAGTACTCCAAAACATAAAACTGATCACTTGGGTCTATGCTGCTGCTGCTGGGCCCGACCCTAGGGTTGCCAGCTCTTGGTTGGGAAAATACATGGAAATTTGGGAGGTAGAGGCTGGGGAGGGCAGGCTTTGGGGAGGGGAGGGGCTTCAGGAGGGTATAATGCCATAAAGTCCACCCACCAAAGCAGCCATTTTCTCCAGGGGAACTGCTCTGGATCATCTGGATATCAAATGTAACAGCAGATCTCCAGGTGCCACCTGGTGGTTGGCAACTGTACCCAACACTTCAGTCCCGTTTCCCAGATATGTGCATGGAAATAGATTTTTCCATGTGAGGATCAGTACAACCAGCCGTGCAAAAAAGTGCATCCCGTGGTGATATAAAGAAAGCAAGCCACAAACACTAAGAGAGCCCTGATTATCAGTGCTGCTTTCTTGGAAGATCCCACCCCTACATTTCAAGCAATCCATTTTCTCAGGCTCAAAGAAGAGAGAGGGCATGTATTAGTTGCTCCAGATTCTTGCTTGTGAAATCTTGGGAGCCAAAGCTGGATAGGTGGGTGGGGGAAATCCCCTGTTGGCTGACCTCAGGTAGTGTGATGACTTCACGCTTTCATACAGCCAGTCAGATTTGGCTAAGTGGTGCTACAGAGCCTAATTAGAGTGAGAGCATAGCTGTCCTGCCCTCACTCTGTACCGCTGAACATTTTAATCCCTATTTTGCTTGAAATGGGGTACATTTTCTGGGGGTGATTTTCTTTTTTCTTTTCTTGCAAAATGAATCTCCCACCCCTCCTTTAGCTCACTACGTACAGTCAGGTTTTTTTTTGCCAGTGTAACTGTTATGACTTTTGCTGCAAAGAAACCTGGAAATCCTCCCATTAGAGATGTTTGGTCCTCTAGGGATGCCAGCCTCCCTGTGGGATCTGGGGATCCCCTGGAATCACATCTCATCTTCAGACATCAGAGATTAGTTCCCCTGGATAAAATGGATGTTTTGGAGGGTGGACTCTATGGCCTTGTACCCCCTCCCCCGCCAAGGTCTCTGCCCTCCCCGGGCTCCAACCCCAAATCTCCAGAAGTTCCCCAACCTGGAACTGGCAACCCTAGCCCCCCAACCCCCTGCTGGCAGTCAGGGGGGACACACACCTGGCAACCCTTTCCCCCTCACAGAACTACAGTTCCCAAAATTCCCAGGGAAGAGAGATGACTGTTAAACGCATTTAAGTCAGTGTTAGATATACCCAGGAGTGGTATAGTTTGTAGCTTCCGGAAAGTGCAGTCAGCAGATTCCCCTGGCCAGTGAGACGGTACTGTGGGTTGCCTAGCAACTGCAACTGAACTTTGCATAGGCCCAGTACAACAGCTGGGCAGAATGCTGGAGATATGTGGGGGGGGGGGGGGGGGGGGGGGGACAGGCAGAGGAGATGTCAATGAGAGGAAAGGCTGCCCCCTACAGGGCAAGAAGCTGGGTCAGATTTTCTCTGTGGGTGATCCAAAAGATTTTGCTCCTAGAGGGATGACGATTGATTCGCTGGGGGAGTGATCCAGCCGAAGTTAAGCCAGTTTAGGACTGCACGGCTAAGCACCCAGCTGTTCCACAGGAATCAGTAAACCTTCAAGATGGCTTAACTTTGCTTGGATTGGACCTAGAATCGCCAACAGACCTGAAAGGAAAAATTCCTGCCCTTTTAAATAAAAGCCTTAATGTATGGAAATGGGCCAATGGAGCTTCCCGTAGCATGGAACATCCCATCAGCCTCTATTTAAAAAGGCAGGACATTTTGTCACCGGCCTCTTGGCATTTTCAAGCGATTTGTTGCAATTGTATCCTGCCTCTCTCACAAGGAACTCAGAGGGGCTTGTGTGGTTTTCTTTTACCAGCCCCTCTTCTAAAATTATCTCCAGCAAACCTTTCCAGATGAGAAGGTGTTCCCATACACTAGGGTGCCACGGTGGCGGTGGAAGCATGCCGACTTATGGTGACCCCATAGGGTTCCCAATCCCCCGGTGGGGGAACCCCTGCTTTCGCAGGTTCTTGCCCACCACCAGCCAGCTGGCTGGTGGGGGGAACTCTCACCCCCAACTGACCTTCCCGGTAAAACCGGAAATGCAGGCCTCAACATGATGACATCGCCCAGAAGTGATGTCATCACATCGAGGACTTGGGGGGACACACAAATTTACCATAGAGTTTTGTCCAAACACCAGATTGTCCCCCCCCCAAGTGTCCCTGACATGATGATGTCATTTCCGGGTGAAGTCGTCATGTCGGCGCCTGCACCTCTGGTTTTACCGACTTCCAGTCTTCTGGAAGGACGTTGGGAGTCCCCCAGCGGCCAGGTAAGTGGACCGGGCAACCCTCTGACCCCATAGGGTTTTCAAAGCAAGAGACATTCAGAGGTGATTTGCCATTGCCTGCCTCTGCATAGTGACCTTGGACTTCCTTGGTGGTCTCCTGTCCAAGTACTAAGCAGGCAATCCTGAAGGCTTTTTAAGGCAAGAGACCTTCAGAGGTGGTTTGCCATTGCCTCCTTTGTGGCCAGGGCTGACTCTGCTTAGCTCGCCTGGGCTGTCCAGGGGAAGGGAGGGCACCTTAGTACTATCCTACTTTTGGGGAAGCTCTCAGGCTGGTGGTGGGAGGACAGACAGTGTCCGTGGGTGGATGAATTAGGAGGCCAGAGGCCAAGGAAGTTCCACCAGCAAGCTAAAGTGTTAAGGATCAGGGGGAGGGGTTGTGGGGAGATGTATTCAAAGTACAAGTAAAGCATATTACGTTGACACTTTTAATTAGCAAGTGTTTCCTTTTCAAAAGAAGGATTAAGCTACTCGGAAGACCTTGCTAAAAGTAGTTAAAATAAATATAGGAAAAAATTGAAATAGGAAGGGTGTTATTTGGGGAGGGGTATTATTTTGCTCAGTGCCCTACAAACGGTGGAACTGGTTTTGATTCTGATTCCTCACTGCTGATCCCTTGCAAGCTTTCTCCATCTCAAAGACACAGTGCCATCTAGTGTTTGAGATGGATCGAGCCGGACCACCTGCTCCTTTGGCTAATTACGTCTCTTCCTTCCAAAAATTTTGATTCCTTTAACTGTGTTCTGATTCAGGGACTTAATTTATGCCCAGGTTCATCAGCACCCTTTTTTCATAGTAGTGGCAGGAGACTAATGGAAAATAGAGTGCCTCTGAGGATGTTCAGAGTGCCTTTCCCACATCACTAAATAGCTATCATCTACAACCACACATTTGTGATTGGAGGAAGGTCTTCCACTAAAAACAAACAAAAAACACCTATTCAGGTTGATTTTGCCCTGATTAAGTTGGCTCCAGATGGAAGAAAGAGACACGAGGCTGTTTGAAAAGGGTCAGGATAGATGACCATAGTCAGTGATCAAAATACTTAAGAGAGAAGGAAATAACTAATTTTCATTTTCATCTCCCTCCTTTTTCTTCCTTCATCTGTTCATAGGTTCTGCAGTCGGCCAAAGAACAAATTAAATGGTCCTTATTAAAATAAACATCCAGAACAAAAGACCTTGTGTCGGCGATTTTTGATTTATAGTTTCTCACAGTGCTCTAATTTAAGCCTTCCCCATGTGGCCCCAAAGGAAGAGGGAGAAGACCTTTCGGTGGAATACAAGATGGCTGCCCCTCAGCATCTGGGAGAACGACAGCATTCCACGGGCTTGTTCTGGTACCTTGGAGGCTGCCAAAAAGAAAGATCTGTTCCTAGCTAATGTGGGCATGGCCTTCTCTGTTCACAGACAGTTGTCTTTGCGGCAGCATTCTGGAACGTACTGGGACCTTCCCCTCAGGTTCACAATATGTCTGGACATCTGTTTGGGCAGATCTCTCAGCTTCTCCATGATCCCTTGGAGGACTGGGAGAAAGACGGCTCTGTGTGCGTGCTTTGTAAAAGAAGTGTAAACATAGCAATGGGAGCAATATGAACGATTTGTCAAAACATGATAACCATTCTAAATAACATTTCCAAGATGGCATTTTTACCACATATTAAACCATTTCTGCCCCCCTTTTCACCAACAGGGACCCCAGATTGGCTTACAATGTTCCCCCCTTCTCCATTTTACTCTAACAACAACCCTATGAGTTAGCATAGGCTGAGTATGTGTAACTGACCCAAGGTGAGCTTTCATGAGAAACGGGGATTCGAACCCAGGACTCCTGGACCCTAATCTGACAAGCTAACCACTACACAGTGCTGATTCTCACCTAATGACACTCTGGGAGGAAGAAAGCTTCCCTCGTGAAGGCAAACTAAACTTGCTTTCTTGAAACTTGAATCCGTCGCCGCCACTTTTCCTTTCATTATGTTGTCCCCCATGCTTAATAACACTTGTGGCTCTTCCATATCTTCTCATTTCTTCATGCCTTCTCAAATGGGTTTGGTAGTTCAGTGAGTTCCACTTCTGTGGTCTCAGTAACCCTTACGACAATCTTTAGATTCGAGTCCCGTCTCACCTTAGAGAGCAGCAAGCGCTTCAGGGTGTGACCTTTTGAGAGTCCAAGCTCCCTTCATCAGACTTGAGTAGAAATGGAGATCTTTTAGCCTCGTCAGGAAGAGGAGGTTGGATTTATACCCCGCCCTTCGCTCGGGATCTCAGAGCATCTTACAATCTCCTTTCCCTTCCCCTCCCCACAACAGGCACCCTGTGAGGTTTGTGGGGCTGAGAGAGCTCTGACTGAGAACTGCTCTTTCAAGGACAGCTCTGACAGAACTGTGGCTTGCCCGAGGTCATCCAGCAGCTGCAAGTGCAGGAGTGGGGAATCAAACCCGGTTCTCCCAGATTAGAGTCTGCGCACTTTAACTACTACACCAAAGGTGGGAGGGGGGATGTAAAGAATGTTTGTGAAGGACGCCAAGGTACAACACGTATCGTAATCCGCTTGATTGGCGCAGCGGGGGAATGTTTGGGGTTACAAGCTCTCGAAAGCTTATACCCCGAAACTCTGGTTGGGCTCTGGTGCTGCTGGATTCAAATCTAGCTGTTCTACTGTAGACTAATGCAGCTACCCTCTGACACTTACAACAACCCTGTAAAGCAGGCCGTTATTAGTGTCCATACTGCCAGTGGAAAACGGAGACAGAGAGAGACAGAGGCTCTCTTCAGACCACTCAGTGGATTCATGACCAAGGTGAGATTTGAACTGTGGGCTTTTAAAGTCAATCTCTCAATTCTTGCACTACATTGACCAGTCTTCTTAAAACTCTCCTAAGCAAAGCTTGGGCCCCCCAGTCCAGTCCAGCTAATACCAGCAAAAAGCCACTCCATCAAGAGTCACTGCAGAGCAAGCTCGAGGACAACCCCTGTCTCCCTCGGGGGCCTGTCGCTGGGATTTCAGAGGCCTAATGGTTGCGGGATCAAATCCACAGACACACACTCTGATACACGCAGCACGATCCTTGGTTCTTGAAAACGAAAGGGAGCCGTGGAAGAAGAAAACGCCTCTGGGCCGCTGGCACGGGAGACCTTCCCAGAGGATGTTGCCCTTTGGGTCTGATGCCACTCCCACTCCCTGATACCCCAGATCTGTTCCTTGATGGGGCTGCCCCACTTTGCCTTCTCGATAGCCTTCCTCTTGCCTCTGCCTCCCACCTCACTGTGCCCTCAGTCTTTAACGGCAGTCTGACACAGAGAGAGGTAGCAGGTGAAGATTTTGTTGGCTAGTTTAGGCCAGGAAAAAGAAACACTTAACTGCTGCGTGCCGGGCCGCTTGCCAAAGACACGGGAGCGGGGCCTGTCCGGAAGGATGTCAGCTCTGGCCTGGCCTCGTCCGCTTTGTGCCCTGTGCGTCTGGCCCACAGGATGGGGCGGGGCGGCGATCTCTCCTGCCTCTTTCCCAGAAGCCTGGGAGGTGCGGACTGTTCCATTATGAGGCCTGGTCTTGGAAGAGTTTCTGTGCCATTCCCAAGCTACAGGCCGTGGGAGACGTTTCTTTTCATTAAATATTTTTCTTCCAGGGGCCGCCTCATGCCTGGCGTATGGCCTGCGCCATCAGTTGTTTTCCCAGTAAGAGTCAGCCTCCCTGTTCGTAACGCGGCCGGGTAAGGACTGTGGGGGTGGGGAGGTGGGGGGGTGGGAACTCAGCATTTGTTTTACATTAGGACCAAAGAGATAACTCACAGCCCAGCAGATGTGGAAACTTCCTTCTGTGTGACCACATGGCCCATGCATGTGAATACTCCAAAGGGGATCGAGAGGCACCTGAAAGCGCTTTTGATTCCAAAATCAGAGGGAAGTTAAATAAAGCCATCAAAGGCACAGAAATGGGGAGGGGGGGAGAAGGAATAACAGATGTAAAATTCTGACTTTTTGTTTGCTTTCCTAACATCTGGGAGATAATTTATAACCGGGAACAGGTGCTAGGACAAAGCCCTCCTGGTAGCCAGACGTCCTAACCCCAGATATGCACAGCCTGTGATGTGGGGAATATTCTTTGCATATGGTCTTTCCAGCCAAATCTCTTGATATCTATTAATTTCAGGACGACCAAGGATACTCATTTAGATTAACTACTTTATGATTGTACTCCTGATTAACTGTGTAACACTAGAAAAAATATATATAGCCGTCAAGTCACAGCTGACTTATGGCAACCCCTCATGTGGTTTACGAGGCACAAGATGTTCAGAGGCCTTTTGCCACTGCCTTCCTCCACATCACGACCCTGGTATCCCTGGGGCTCTTTTTGTAGCAGGAACGCCTTTGCATATTAGGCGACACACCCCTAATGTAGCCAATCCTCCAAGAGCTTACAGTAGCCCCTGTAAGAAGAGCTCTGTAAGCACTTGGAGGATTGGCTACATTAGGGGTGTGTTGCCTAATATGCAAAGGAGTTCTAATGAGATCAGGCTACCCTGGACTATCCAGGTCAGGGCTAGAAAATATTAGTCTCTTTTAAATGTTACATTTTAAAAAGCGCCATTTTAGAAGAGGAACAACTCTCTCCACACTGGCCAGAATACCTTTTCAAAGTTGTTGCCCCCTGCCTCATATACAAGCATAACATGACAAAAGTTTTAGTCATGTATCCCATTCTCCAACCCTGCTCTCTGTGTTCCCACCTGCAGTGATGAGACAAGCAGCAACCAGAGACAGGGCTTTTTTGGTGTTGGCACCTTGCATTTGGAATGCCCCCCCCCCCCGATGCTAGGCCAAAACAATTCTTCTTACCTAGACTTTTAACTAAGGAGTTCCATCTTTTTAAAAGGTGTCTTATAGTCCACTGCTAGCCTGAGGACAGTTTGAGGGATATTATTTCAGGTCACTCAAACACTCAAAATAATATTCCCCAAAACTGTTTTCATAGAATCATATAATGTTGGAGTTGGAAGGGACCTTGCAGGTCATCCAGTCCAACCCCCTGGACTCTGCAGGAGCATAGCCAAAAGATAGCCCTACAACGTCCAGTGAAGGAGCATCCACCACCTCCCAAGGCAGTCTGTTCCACTGCTCAACCACTCTTACAGTTAGGAAGTTTCTCCTGATATTTAGCCGGTAACGACACCCTTGTAATTTCCACCCATTAGATCTAGTCTACAACGTCCAGTGAAGGAACATCCACCACCTCCCAAGGCAGTCTGTTCCACTGCTCAACCACTCTTACAGTTAGGAAGTTTCTCCTGATATTTAGCCGGTAACGACACCCTTGTAATTTCCACCCATTAGATCTAGTCTTGCAATCCGGAGCAAGAGAGAATAGATCCGCTCCACCTTCTACATGACAGCCCTTCAAATACTTGAAGACTGCAATCATGTCCCCTCTAAGCCTTCTCTTTCCCAGGCTAAACATACCCAACTCTTTCAGCCTTTCCTCGTAAGACTTGGATTCCAACCCTCTCACCATCCTGGTTGCCCTCCTCTGGACACGCTTGAGCTTGTCAACATCCTTCCTAAAATGTGGTGCCCAAAACTGGACACAGTACTCCAGGTGAGGCCTGACCATAGCAGAATAGAGCGGAACTACCACCTCGTGTGATCTGGACACAGTGCTTCTGTTGATGCATCCTACCATTGCATTTTTGTGCTCTTGGCTTGTTTTTAATGGCTTGTCTGGGTTTTCTTTTGTATTGTTTTGGTGGTTTGTGTTTCATGGCTTGTTTGCTTTTGTCGTCGTGTCGAGCTGCCTCCAGCAGGTCTCTGTAGCGCCGTCGTGCCCATTATCAAAATTAAGAAATAAAATAAAACAATTTAAATGCATACAATCAGACTCAAGAGGAAGAATGTTAATGATTTAAACAGAAGCGAGTACACCTCCTCCTCCGGCACGGGGCCTTTTGAGGAAGATTAGGAACGGAATGAGAACATGGTACACAGGCCAATTTAGAGAAGGCAAAACCAAGTTGGGAGTGAAAAGGGGAAGAAAAGATAGTAAGGAAAGGTGCAGATGGCAGAGGCCAGATGTAGGGGAGAGGGCTGCACAGACAGAATGGGGGCAAACCAGAAACACAGAAATTCCACAGGTTCTCGTCTGTCCGAAAATTGC